TCAAAGAACTTAAAAATAGTATACTCCAGGAACACAGTCACATCAATGTTTATAGCAGCACAATTCACAATAGCTAAACTGTGGAACCAACCTAGATAGATGCCCTTCAGTAGATGAATGGATGAAGAAAATGTGGTACATATACACAGTGGAATATTACTCAGCATTAAAAGAGAATAAAATCATGGCATTTGCAGGTAAATGGATGAAGCTGGAGAATATAATGCTAAGTGAAATTAGCCAATCCCAAAAAAACCTAAGGGTGAATGTTTTCTCTGATTTAAGGATTCTGATTCATAATATGCTGTGGGTGGGGATGGGAGGATTAAATGAACTCTAGATAGGGCAAAGGGGAAAAGGGAAGGGAGCAGGCATAAGGGTAGGAAATACGGTGGAATCGATGGTCATCATTACCCTAAGTACATGTAAAAAGACACGAAGGAGGTGACTCTACTTCGTGTACAACCAGAGAAATGAAAAATGTGCTCTATATGTATAATATGAATTGTAATACATTTTGTTGTCATATAACAAATCAAAAAAAATCACTTACTTAGATCACTTAGGTGCAGGGTCCTAGCTTAGGAAGAAAGGCTTCTTAGTGAGATATATAAACAAGTGTCTAAAGAAGATAAAGAATGAGCCATGGAGTTTTCTGGGGAGAAAACTCAAAAGTCTTGATGAAAAATCTCTCTGGTATATTTGAGGATTGGCAAGGAGGTAGTGTGTGGGTGAACTGTAACTGATGTGGAGCAGTACAGTAGGAAATGAAGCCAGAGAGCTAAAGGGGACTTCATCTGTATAGGGATTTTTGAACCCTTCCAAATACTTGGGATTTGACTCTGAAGGAAGTAGAAACCAGTGGAGGAGGAAAAGCAGAGGAGTGACATATTGGATGCTCTTTTTAACTGGCATGTTTTGGTTGCTGTGTAGAGGACAGCCTGAAAGGAGTGAGGGATGGGGCATCAGTAGGAAAGCAGAGCATCATCCAGGCAAGAAATGGAAGAGGCTGGGACCAGGGTGATAACTATGGGGTTGTGGCAAGTGACTGGTAGCCAGTAGGATTTAATGGAGTATGAGGGGAAGAGAGAAAGAAGGATGATGCTGAGATGTTGGGCCTGGAAAGATGTATGAAAGATGGAGCTCCATTAACTGAGATGCAAAAGTTTTGGGAGGAGTGTGTGTTGGCTAGGGGAGGGAGAGAGGGGGAGAGGGATCAGAAGTTTGGTTTTAGACATGTTCAATAAGAGAGGCATATTAGATATCCAAGCAGAGATGTTCCCTGGGAGGTTGGAATAATGAGTCTGGAAGTCTGGCTATATCATTGGCATATAAATGATACTTTAAACTGTGAGACTAGATGTTATCATCAAGGGACAGAGTATAGACAGAGAAGTGAAGAGGTATGTAGATTGAAACCTGGGATTGATTCTCCAACATTAATAAAGGATTGAATGATGACATGGAGGGATAACCAGAAAACAGAAGGAGTGGCCAATGAGATAGAAGGAAAATTAAAAGAAACCATGTGAAGAAAATGTTTCAAGGACAATAAATGACCAACTGTGCAAATACTGCTATTAGGTGAAGAAAGAAGATCATCCGCATGACTGACAGTTAGGCACCCTGGGGTCATCAGAGATCTTTGTGAGATCAACTCCCCATGGCTCAGGCTGAGTCCAGGCAGTTTTGGTGGAAAAGTGGGAGGAAAGCCTGTTGTAGTAAGTTGAAGAAAGACGGCATTCAGGGGCTACAAACAACAAGCACCTACTTACAGCTATTGCTTCAGGTTGTAAGTGCTGTTTTCATTCTCAGAAGTGTTCAGGGGCAGATGTCATCCTAACTATGTGAAAAGACTTTCAAGGATCGTGGCTGGAAACAATAACTGGAATTCTGTGACCAAGAAAGATTTATTTTTAAAATAAGGGAAACAACACAGAGTGTTTGCTGATGAGAATGATCCAGTATGAAAGAATAAATTGGTGATGTGGGAAATAAAGGGAGAATTTGGGGAATGAGGCTTTTGAAAAGGGAAGAGGGATCGAATGTGGAGGGCTTAGCTTTGTATATCCTTTGCAAAGGGTGTGAAGGCAGAGTACGCTGGTATAACTCTCAGACTGTACTTTTGTGGTTGATTTATTTGTTTGTTTTCCACATATTGTGAACCTCTTAAGAGCAGTAAGTATAGATATCTTGCTCATTTTGTGGTAGGGATTTTATCGTTTTATTTCTATTCCCTAGTACAATGCCTGGAACACAGCAGGCATGCAATAAATGTTTGAATGAATGAATGAAGACACTCTGCTAAGCATGCATATGTTTTGTTTTTCATTCAAATTGGATTATTTCAAATCTTGACAGCCAGATTGATTTAATCATGTTTCTCTTGTCTGGGCCTACTGAATGCTCCACTACTTGGTAGAGTTGATTGATAGGAATGACTGTGCTTCTACCAAAATCAATGATGCCTCCTAAGAGTAAAATCAGTGACCCTTGCTGCATCATTTTGAAGTTATCCTGGCAATGGTTCATGAACTTACTACTTATGTCACCTTGAACTTTCTGAAAACTCTTTATTTTTCCTCAGTCTCTGTTCACTATTTGTATTTTGCCAATCACACAGCATATAACATTATCATTTTTTTCTAACTTACCTAGTACACGAGAAGCTTTTTGAAACCACCTTTTGTTAGAGAACATGTCTTTTTCATTGCTAAATTAAAAAAAAAAATTAGTCCTGGTCCTGCTGCAAAACAGGTGCAAATTAAATATTTGTTGAATGAATGAATGAATGCCCAGATGAATGATTACTGTCCCTGGAGAATGTTTTCTGTGCAAAGACTAGATCTTCTTTCCAGAATGGTGTCCCTATACACTGGCAGCCATTGCTTTGCACTCAGCAGAGCAGACCTGGCACCTTCTTCAAAGGACTATTGTTGGATCATAGGATCTGCACCACCTAGATGTGCTGAGAATCAGGAGTGCTGGGGATTTTATGTCCTCATTTTGGTAACTATAGCCAATGACTGAGGTGCAAGAGTGTGGAAGCCTAGATGTCTAACCTCAAGCCTGTACAAACTCAGCTGTGCCATTTATGCTCTAGAACTCTCTGTAGCTCAGGCTGAGTCCAGGACTTTGCCTGAATTGCACCCTTGATTGACTTATTTTTCTTTATCATGGTTCCCTGACTCCCTTGTAGGTTTTCTCTGAGAGTGCTTTCTTATTGTATTGCTTGTACCCTCAATCCTTTTCTTAAGGGTTTCTCCTTGGGGAACTTCACTTAAAACATGGAATGTTTGTAAACAATGTCCGGGGCAGGGAATCCTAACAGTGCCTCTTTGAGTGTCAAGTTCTATTTTAGATGTTCTTTCTTGATAGTTTCTGATTTTATACTACTGCCAGCCAAAGATATTGATGCTGCAAACTAAATTTAGTATTTGATTTAGTTTTTGGAAGAGAAGTTGTTTTGCAATTTTGGTCAATTAATTATAATCGAATTTGGTAAATACTTTGTTGAGTTGCAGATCTTTCTAACATAATGTGAGAATGTATCTTCCTCTCCTCTCCTCTCCTTGATTTGACATATCTGTATTTTCTCTTCTTAGGCATGGGTAAGAAAGAGTTAATTGTATAATTAACTTTTATGTTATGATTGAGTATGACTTTCTTTTTTTCCTCTATTGAATATAAATATTCATTTTGGTATACTGAGTAAACCATTTATTTTTCTGGCGATATGAAAGGGACACAAACTCTCTTATCTGTAAAATGGGATTGGAACTAATGTGTTTTAGAACTGAAAAAGCACTTTAGCAACCAGCTGGTGGCCAACACCTTCATTTTATAAATGAGAATGTTGGAAACCCAAAGAGGTTAAGTGATTTGTTTAATATCACCCAGCTTGGCTAGTGGCAGAGCAGGACTAAAATCCAACTCCCAGGCTGCTGTGCTCTCTACTGCTTCCACAAAATACATATTTCTTATTCACAGAATTGATATGAGGATTAGGGACCACATCTGTGAAAAATAGATTTAGCCTTTGGAAAGAAAGATGCTGGATAGCTTTATGAAAGCTTTATGAAAACTAATCTCATTTTAACCTTTTCTGTACAATTGTTAGTTTTGTTCAGTTTTATGTTTCTCGCTTTAGGCTTTTTTTTTTTTTTTGGGCCAAGGACTAGATAATTTATGATGCTTGCTTTAAAAATCAATATTAGTATCCGGATTGTGTACATGAATTACTTTAGCTGAATTTTGAAGCTAAGAGCAGTTGTGAACGGTCTTCTAGAATGATGACTGCTTATGTACACGAGTTTTCTATCCTTGGTTTGCATATTGGAAATAAGGACAGTTGATTAAAAATAAAAAGCAGTCCAAGTTATATATATATTTTTCCCAGTCTGTTAATACTTCCAAAGCTTGATACAACATATCTTTAATACACCATGAATTTTCTCTTCTGGGGAACCACTGTATCCTGCTTCTTTCAGCATAGCCAGGGGCCCATTATACTAATCCACCATACCTTCATATCTCTAGCAAGCATATATAAGCGATAACTTTGAATATTTATTTGATTCAAGGTGTGTAAATCTTCCCTATGTCATCTTGTAAACTTGAGAAAATTGTGACTTGTTCGACTTGGTTACTTCGATTGTTTCAGTTGGGTTCTTTCAGGCACAGCAAGCTTTGATATATGAACAAGAATACTGTTTAATTTTTTTTCTTTTTTCCCCCCATGTTTTTTGATGCATCATCTCTGTACATAATGGTGGGATTTGTTGTTACATTTTTGCACATGCACACAATATAACAATAGATTTAGGCCAATATCATTCCCCAGGGTTTTCCCCTTCCCTCCTTTCCCTGCCCTCTTGTCCATTTTCCTACTGTTTAATTTTTGTAGTATCTAAAGTGATTTGTGTAGATTCATATTTTCAGGGAAGATGTAATTCGAGTACCAAAAGACTAAAGTCACCTTTATATATATTTCTAATTAGGTACGGTTGTACGCAAGACCTGATGCGATCAGAAGAGGATCCGGGGACTATGCTCTCCATATTACAAAGAGACTAATAGAATTTTATGAAGACTACTTTAAAGTGCCCTATTCCTTGCCAAAACTAGGTAAGAATTTTCTTGGTTATTTTATGGGACAGGCTCTTTGAAGGTAGAATTTCTTTAAAGACATCCAGGAGCATGAAAATTCAGAGGTTTATATTTTTTAGAGATGATAAGCATAAAAAATAATTTCTTTGGAAGAGGTAGAATAAGATTTTATGTTTCTGGAGTCTTGCCAGTAAGTGCTCATGGGAACTAAGAAAGGCATTATGTTAAATTTAGGATTCCAAAAGATGATTTGTTGAGTATGCCCCGTGGAGGGGTGCTTGCCAACATCACATTTAATCACCACAACTACTATGGAGGTAGGTAGGGCCAGGACATTGTCCATATAAGGGAATTGGGACCCAGGAGTGTTTCCATTCATCGAGAGAACTAGTGAGTTAAGGAGCTGGGATTTCAGACTAGGTCTTGATTATTCCCAGAACTATTCAATATTTTACATGAAGAAGGAACTCATGGGCAGGATGCCGTGCCAAATTTTCGGTCGTCAGATCTTAATTAGTTGTCCTTTAGATTGTTTTTGTTTGTTCGTACTCCTACCACACAGTTACAGTAAATAGAATAAAAAGAAAAGAAAAACTTGGTAGTAATGGAAATCGTGTTCTCTGCAAACTTAGTTGCATTTCTTCCTTTTACAAAGGAAATGTGTTCAATACTTGTTGGTCAAATGAATAAATGAATTAAGTTGTTACCCTAATTCAAATGGTGTGCTTTTGCCAAGGAGTGAGCCCTGATATTAGAAAGGGTATGTATATGTACTAGAAGTATTGAAGTTACTTTTTCTTCTCAGAAAACCTGATTTGGGATATTACATCAAACAGTCCTTTGTCCCCACCCCTCCATCCTTTTTCTTCCCAAGAGCATTTTTGATCAGGATCCACATAAAAGATATTTCTCATTGTAAAGAATAAAGTGTTTACTTGATCAAAAGTGTTAGTTTGAACCACAGGTTCTCCTCCCTGGAGAACTGGGCCTGTTTCATTAAGTACCTGCCTGCTGGGTAGATTTATTGGTCTTACAATGAGTAGTTAGTTCAGAAAGCAGATAGAATGGTTGATATTGTTATCTATGGGTATGGCATACAATTTTAATGAGTTGTATTACAAAATTCTAAGGTCTTTTTTGAAATTCCAGCTCCTAGAATCAATAGGTACATTTAAAAAAAAAAATTTCAAATAGGATCTGTATTTTGTTTTGTTCTATTTTCTTTTTCTGTTTTCCTTTTTACATCTTCCTCCCTGTTAGTATCTTTTTTGCACTGAAACCTCCCTGGTAGTCACCCAAGGCAGAAAGGAATACCTGACCTCATTTGCATGGGAGGTGACACTGTTATCTACTCCAGGTAAAACTGGCTGGGAACTGCTCAGCTTGACTCTAATGTAAAATTCACGAGTGCTTATGTTGCAAGTTCAGCAAGAGAAATAAAATGTGGATCTTTCTCTGTCTCCTTCAGACCAGTAATTAGCAGAAGAACTCAATTTATAACTTCGGGGGGTTCCATGTAACTGTCAGCTTGCAGCAGGAAGCATTTCTGTTCCTTTGCTTCACTCACAGCTGTGCCATGCAGCCTTTCATCTGTAGAAAAGAGCTTTGTTCACCCTTATTGTTACGTGTTAAGCTACCTTATGGTGTATTTAATTGAATGATTTGACTTACTCCCAGCATACGGCTTTTTGTATCCAGGGGAGTTACCAAAGCCCATGGTGCTTTGTAAAATTTAAAGTTCCACTTATTTTATATATCTATAGATGTTTAGATCCATATATTAATGGACTCATAAGTGTGCCTTCTAAATACCTCCTATGAAAGATTCTGTAAGCACAGAAACATTTTGAGAAATTCTTATTTTCCATTGTACATTATGAATTCTATTCTAAGTGAATTCGATGGAAACCTACTCAAGTCTTTGTTAACGATGCCCATAGATGTGTCCTAAATATTACCTGAGGCTGCATTGACCCTTCTCCCCTTCTTGCCTTCCCTCATTTATTCTGTAAACATTTAGTAAGTGCCTGCCACAGGCAATTTTCTATGCCATGCAGACCCAACAATTAATAAGGTAGTAGATTCCTCCTTCCTGGAGCTTCCATTCTATCAGGTAGAGACAGACACTGAAGCAATAGTAGTATGTAAGGAACGTGGAGATAAGAACCACTAAAAATAAAGTCACAATGGAAGATGAGGAAGTGTGTTGCATAGTTGGTGCAGGGAAGGCACTGAGTGTTTCACATGGGCAATCATAGAGGGCTTCATTGCAAAGTTTTTTGAATAAACAACTCCAGGCAATGAAGTAGAAAATCCTGTGGAAATAATGGGACAAGGACTATAGACAGAGGGAACCAAGTGCCTAGACTCTGAAATGAGAGCTTTCCTGGGGGATCTGAGGGACACAAAAGACAAGTGGGACTGTAGCAGAGTGAAAATGTCAATTTTGTCCCTCAGGAGCCCTGTCTGGAGCCATTTTTGTTTGACACAGCCTGGGTGTGGGGAGGGTTAGGTATATATTACTAATATTTGGTGGATAGAAGCCAGGGATATTGCTAACCATCATAAAATTCATAGGATGCACAGGATAGCCTTTTAGAACAGGAGTTATCTAGCCCAGACTGTCAATAGTGCTAAGATGGAGAGACCCTGATATAAACTGAGGAGTTAATAGACCAAAATTCAGGGGAATGATGATTGCTGCTTGGACTAGGATGCTAACAGTGAGGTTGTCAGAAGGGATTAAATTCTGGATATATATTAGAAGTAGAAACAATAGAATTTACTGATGAGTAAGATGTTGGATGTAAGAGAAAGAGGGACATCCAAGGTGACTTTGAGGTTTTTGATCTGAGAGCTAGAAGGATGCTATTGCCATTTGCTGAGACAGAAAGATTATGGAAGGGGATAATTTTTGAGACTGTCAAGCCTGTTAAACATTTAGGTGGCACCTTGATGTTTGTATGAAATTCAGGTGAACAATTGAATTTATAAATATGGAGTTTGGATGAGTAATCTGGCTAGAGATATATATTTGCCAGCATATTATGGTATACAAAGCTGTAATACTGGATGGGATTGCAAGACGGCAAGAGGTTAAAAGAGAATATAAGCAAAGAGGTTCTGATCCAGTGTTTTCAGGTTAGAGAGACACTAGGGAAACCAGGCAATTGTGATATGCTGGGCATATAGGGAAGAAAGCATTAAAAATAACAATAAAGAAGTTGTGGTAGTCCAGTTAGATTAGGACTGAGAATTGACCTTCACTGATGTTAGTGGGAGAGTAAATGCTGATGCTTGTTGTTAGGATGGTAATTTATTCTCCTTGTTACATAAAAAATATTTCTGTAACAAAAGCAACCAGTGTACACTGTCTGAGAATTTGTTTTCAAATCTCTAAATTAGGTAATTAAAACTTTTTGTATGAGGTTTTCAGAGATTTTCTGCTTCTTGGTGTTGAATTGTATGAGAGACACAGTCTACTTGATACAGTACAGCCAGCCTTTCCATATCTGTGTGCTTTATTTTCATGAGAACTCTCAGAGGCATGGAGTGCTACTTTACAAGAAGGTTATTGTAGACACATACAGAATTAAGTTAACTTTCTTCTTATTCTCCGAACATATTGACAACAACAATAACTATGTTTGTGTTTATAGAATGTGAGTTACTCTTAAAGGGCTTTGTACATTCTAATCCATTTAGTCTGTCACAACTTTCTGAAGGAATACCTATTATTTTCTAATTTTCCAGATGAGAAAATTTAGGGATTCAGTGACTAGGTAATGTGGGCCGATCACACAGCAGGAATTAGTGGGTTTGAAATTCAAACCCATACTGTCGGATTCCAGGATCTTTCGATTCTACTGAAACAGATTCCACAAATTTTGAGAATCCAGAAATTGTATGTAGATCACCTTAATATGGATAATCTGTTGTTAGAAGAATAATGTAAGAGTTATTTCTGTTAATTTCTTACTGGTGTTAAAAAATTAATACATAGTGTGCTCAGTGTCAGAGCACTTGTCTAGCATGTGTGAGGCCCTGGATTTGACCCTTAGCACCACATTAAATAAACAAACAAACAAATAAATAAATAAAGGCATTCTGTCTATCTACAACTACAAAAATAATTTTAAAAAGTAATACCTAGTCTTTGCAGAAAATTCAGAAAGTTAAAAAGATACGAAGAAGCACATCTTATAATTTGTAATTTCACGAACCTGAAGACGTATTGCAAATGTGTTTTCATCATAGATGCTTTATAAGTTAATTAGGTGGCAGATAAAATGACTGATAAAATATTTTGTTACTCTATTTAGATTTCAATTAATTATGGCAAATAGTTTTCAGTTTCCTTTTGCTGCTACTCTGTAATTTGTAAATCAATGTTTTGTAAAGGAGTTTGCTTGATTGCTGCTTTTCAAGACACTGTGCTTTTATGAAGAATTCATTACTTACCTGGCACAGAGCTGGGATTGTAGAGGGAGAACAGGTGTTTTGTAACAAGAATTTCTGCCCTCAAGGAGATTGTGCTTTTGTTGAGGAGAGAATACGATATTTATAGGAATGAATGGATTAGAGACTTAAACAGTATAGAATGTAATCAAGCACTATAGTTTTATAGGGTAAATATTTAATGCCATGTTAAATTAAGAGCGTGGGATCATTATACAATGCTGTAGGCACAAAATGTACTTATCGGGTAAAGATAAGCGAAGTCTTATCTTTACCCGAGTCTTGGCAAAAGAGACAGAGATTTAATTGGAGGTGAAGAAAGGGGAGAAGGGTCATTTTGAGAACTGTGTACAGAGAAAGCTCATATACACTTTGGGCTGTCTGTATCACATGGAAGGGTCAACATTTTTGTGTCAAGGAATTGATAAACTATAGGATAAATTGTTTTATTAGAATTTAAGAATAAGAGACTTGCTTGAATGATTGATTTTTCTTTGGCCATAATCTAGATTTTCAGTGTAGTATTGATGACGGTGATGATGATAAGTTACTATTTGCAA